TCTGTACAATCCCTGCCAAAACAAGACACACAGTTTCAATCTGAGCTACATGTAAATTTAAGTGCTGGCAGGGAGGGAAGGAGTGAAAAATTAATGTCTTGGTCACATCAGCTGCTCATTTCCATTTTCACTGTGAAGCCTCATCCAAAACAGATAAGGCAGAAGAGTCAAATGCAGCAGCACCATATTGTTACCTTTGCCTTCTAGTAATTTAGGCTCTAGAATGGAAATATATTCTTCTTATTATTCTGAATGCAATAGGTTATAACTGGTATCGTACCAAATGTTGCACAGACATACAGAAGAGGTGTTGCTCACACAGTGGAGCTTCCCAGCTAAGTAGGTAAACGCAAGAAAGGAATGAATGGAAAGCAGCAGAAGAGAGAATCCCAATGCAGGTGCCTGATCTAGGCCTGCTCCTAAACACAAAAAAGCTCCCTAAAACAAGCCTACATACCACATTTAATATAAATTTGACTAGGTTTACTTTTCGTTAAATACTTACCATTTATTTTAAGGTATTCTTTTAACAGCGTAACTAACTAAAGGGAATAGTGCTTGTGCAGTACATGTCGGGTGACCAGGGGGCTGTCGCTGTGTCTGGCCTAAAGCCCACCACCGTCAACAGCAACTTTCCACCCACTTCAAAGGGTGGAGATGTAGATGCAGGTTTGGGAACTCTTGTGCCAAATTTGCTGCCAGGTAAACATCTGCAAGCACAGAGCAGCTGCTTTGACTTGTTCCTGCACCAGAATACCTAGAAAGAATATTTGGTACCTTGGACTGTTCACCTTCCCTACTTGATTTACTCAGGAGTACTAGAATAACGGGCATTACATGAACATGGCCATTCCACACCATGCATGTGAAACTTCTACACAACATTACAGCTGCATGTGTCTCCTCCTCATACAGAAAGAACAGAAAAGACTCCACATTCAAAAAAATGAAAATAGCAAGGACATTTATATGAATACTCTACTACCCTCATTCTTCATATTTTCATTCAGCCATAAGATAGAGTCACAGGAACACCTTACTCATTCCTTTTGATGAGCAGAATGCCAGAATGCTCTTTCAACCCATATATTATGAACACATGCCCAGCTTCTACAGCAAATAGATAAACCTTCAGAGTGCTACACGACTAGGTATTCTCATTCTCTTTTCAAACAGTGGATAATTATGGTAGCTTTCAACTTAAAAGTACCTCGTAATTGCTCTTTCAAAATGCTATACTCTGGATATTGCAAGGTTGGGCTGATATTTATATATTAGAATAAATCCTTTCTTTATAAGGCTGTAGTGCCAGTGTTCTGGGCATACACCATGACTCTCCTGTGCAAGGTGCTGTACAAAGAAAAGTTCATTAATAAGCAAATACCTGAGAAAGTTTCTAGCTGAAAACAATATTATCAAGTACAGCTTTGACAGAAAATGCTATGAAATACTGCCTTTATGATCCAATATGAAAAATACAGTCTTACTAGTTTCTTTTCAGTTATATTAATAGTCCAGCTTGATGCACAAGTTTTATTTTTCAGTGAAAACCACCAGTAATTTGTCCACACAACAAAAAAGGCATGTTTTGCTTGCTTAAAAAGTTTGTGTTATGAATCAAAGGTAAATATAAAGGGATGTGCCAGAATGAAAAACAAAGACTGGAAGAGTAGGATTCATCTTACCAACCTTTATGCTTCTAAGGTGTAGCCAGCTACTTTTGAGCTAATTACTCTGCTTCCCTCTGTAAACGAGTCAGAGAAAAATGCACTTTCAGTGGGCAATTCATCTAACCCAATCGAGGGATCTACATTAGGACATAATGTATTGCATCCTAGCAGTGCCTATTTCTTTGCAATGAATATAAGGGAGGTCCAAACAACTAGCTCAGACACAGATGTCTCCAAATTCATTAGTAGTTAAATCAGTGGTGATGGCATTCTGGACTTGCAGTAATGAGTACACAGTATTTGATTGCTCCAGTGGGGTTCTGTGTCTAGGTATTTTACATCAATATTAAAACTAAATGTCATATTAAGGCAAATTAGCTGTTGACCAAGTCCAACATTTGTCAAAGTTGGTATTTCAGAGACATGTGTGTGTGTGTATAAGGCCTTAGGAGGAAAATTATGGAATAACCTGCCCAAAGAATCATAGAATCATAGAATCTTTGGGTTGGAAAGGGCCTTTAAAGGTCACCTAGTCCAACCCCCCTGCAATGAGCAGGGACACCTTCAACTAGATCAGGTTGCTCAGAGCCCCGTCCAACCTGACCTGGCATGTTTCCAGGGATGGGGCATCCACCACCTCTCTGGGCAACCTGGGCCAGGGGTTCACCACCCTTGTTGTCAAAAATTTCTTCCTTAGGTCTAGTTGAAATCTGATCTCTTTTAGTTTAAAACCATCACCCCTTGTCCTACCACAAGAGGCCCTGCTAAACAGTCTGTCCCCACCTCTCTCCTCAGCCCCTCTCAGCCCTGGCAGCTGCAGGAAGGTCTCCCCGGAGCCTTCTCTGCTCCAGGCTGAGCCCCCCCAGCTCTCCCAGCCTGTCCTCCCAGCAGAGCTGTTCCAGCCCTCGGAGCGTTGCTGGGGCCTCCTCTGGCCCCGCTCCAGCAGGTCCATGTCTCTCCTGTGCCGAGGGCTCCAGAGCTGGACGCAGCCCTGCAGGGGGGTCTCCCCAGAGCGGGGCAGAGGGGCAGGATCCCCTCCCTCGCCCCGCTGGCCACGCGGCTTTGGGGGCAGCCCAGGACGCTGTTGGCCTTCTGGGCTGCATAAGGCTGCGTTGCATAAGGTATGATTCATAACCTTCACCACTAGCACTTGCCATACTCCTTCAGTTTTTCACAGTATAATAGTGAAGTGTTTTATGTATGCTCTGATGCAAGTACCTACACATATTACACAATATATCGGCTCAGTGGTCTCCCTAAACACCCTCCATGCAGGCTGGGAAGTCGCAGCCGCTGCCTGCAGAAGGCTTTCTAGTCAAAGACAAACATGGGTTCCTTTGTAATGATGTAGAAAACCAGCCTGCATATGGAGGAGGGCAGGCAGGGAGAAGCAGCTTGGGGGGAACTCTCAAGCATATCACATAATCCTTTTTGAAGTATTTGATCTTAAATTGAAATGGCAGTCCTTCCTCACAGCAATTTTATTTTTAAACACATCACAAAATGTTATGATTCTATGGAATGGAAGGAGACTATTACAGAATCCCAATATTTAATAGTTTTAATATTAAAACTTAGTACTATTATTACAAGTCTGCATGTTCAAACCAGTATGCAAACATTAATTACTCTTCACAGCAGCCCAAGGAGGTAGAAGATATTTATTATAAAATAGCCACAGTCTAGAAGTTCAGATTCAGATGCAAAGTTCCACAGCAGTTTAGTATGCTTTCATCTCATTTTGTAACTAAATCCTATTAAAATACTTAGCCTGATGTTTTTAGCCTGATGGTTTACTAAATACCACACACCAACCGGAGGCAGAACCAGAATTAACTCTTCAGAGATCCTGACAACAGCTACTGGACAATGTTTCCCATTTAAAATAATGTTTCTATCTGCCCATGAGCTTGCTAGTCTAATATATATCACAAAAATCCCTGACTCCTGTTTCGCTATCAAAGCCTACAGAAGATGCGTTAGGCCTTGTAGAAGAAAACAGGCTGCTTCTCCTATGTTTACAGCAACATCCTATTTTCAGCAAAGGTTGAAAATTAATCAGGTGATTATTCAGAAATGTAACCTCCTCTGTCATCACCCCACCTTACCGCATTTGGATGATAAACTGGGATTCAAAGAGTCAGATGTGTCCGTATTCACCAAAGCTCTGTCAGGAGGGTCAGTCTTTATATGACTGCCCTTTAAATGCACATCTAGTTTAGAAATGAGTCAGAGTCCCCATGTGCCCTGGAGAAGTTCCGATCCGGATTTAGATCTGAACTTTAGATCTTTTTTATCTCTCTATTTCTGAAAGTTAGAGTCAAATATTCAGGCTCCTGGGAGCTAAAACAGCACCATGTTTTATTTTCTCTCTTGCTAATGCATCAATTGATTTTCTTTTTGTGAAAAAATTGATTTGGTTAATATTCTTCAACAAGGATGGATGCCCGTCTTGGACCTGCTAGCACCTTTATTTATCTAGCTAACAACAAAGAGGAAAAAAAACCACAATCTGGAACTGAACAATGACATTGTTTTGCAAAGTCAGAACAATCAATAAGAGTTCTGACTGAGCAAGGACATCTAGATGCCTATATACTTACTTGTTTTAATAGCCTTACATTTGATTCTGAAAGGTAACATTCATTGTATCAAAATAATTATTTGTACAAACTCAGTTATCAGAATATTTTGTGGATTTGAAAAAATTCTGATCTACAAGGTGTCCTAACTAATAACTAGGTTTAAAAATCAGGTGGCTGTAGGAAAGCAGTTGTTTCACATCATGTGCTGAATCACTGAAGTTCAGCTCATTGAAGCTGAAGATCAAAGCGCAGACAAATAATTTTGTTAAGGATCATGACTAGGAATCCATTGAAACTGCCAAAAACACAATGCCATTTGCACTAAAACAGCAGTGGAAACAAAACTTCAGTGTAGGTTTAACGCAAGCTATTATGTCTTATTAAAACAAAGGTGTGTCTGCATTACTCTTTTTAACATGAATTAACTAACTGAGGTCAGCCAACCTCAGCTAAGATCACATCATTTAAATCCGTTTCCTAAGGGGAGAGGGCTAATGACACTGTCTGTACTTGCCTAATAACTTTTAAATCTTTTAGCCAATTTCAACCAAGTTTGAGAGAGGAACAGGCTTCACACTGACATGAAGATCCTATGCCTATAATGAAAAGAAATCTGCAGAGAAAGAAGGTTCTGTAAGTGCTTCTACCAAGAGAAAAGCTCAATCTTTATTTGTTGTCAGACAACCTATATCATTGAGATGTCGGAACAGA